TGATTCGAAATAATTTTTTGACTGCGTTAGGGGCCATAATTATTTCCCAGTCCGTAGGGACCGTCGCAACGCCTCGAAAATTGAAAAACAGGCACATTTTGTAACATTGTAGAAGATTTGATTCGCATAGTTAAGCCACCGAATTTGTATCAGATTGCTTAAAAACCTTTCTAGTTTGCCAAGAAAGTTAGAATTTGCCCTCTCAATATATTTGAAAAGGCGAATTTTAGCATATTCTGACCCGGCTATAAGTCGCCATCGGCCGATGGCCGTAAATAACCTTGATTTAGACGTTAAGTTTGGGATTTGGGACCTGGTTGACAACTCTATCCTACACAGCCGTTAAATTTAGACCTTTATAGGCAAAAAATGTAAAAAAAAAAACCCTGTACGTTTTCGATTTTTCAAAAGTTATGACCGTTTGAATCAGCACATGCACGAGCATTCGCGATTTTTTCATCTACACTAAAATCGAACCACTGGAGCAGATTTCGTTATAAATACAGCTTACCTTCGGCGCATCTTGGTTTTATGTGAAATTTCAGATGTTCCTCGCTACCCAAACTGGTGAACTTAATGATAACTCCAGCTAATAACTCCAAACTTCAGCGGTCGGCATCTATAGACACTCTTCTTTAACTGGTTGTTGCGAACTAAACTCGAAAACTAAAGCCACGTTTCGCGCTTAATGTCCTGTTGAAACTTTGGATCGGTGCTGCATTCTCTTCAAGAATCAGTCATAGAACTCCACAAGTCTATATGTGGAAGTTTGAGGGCTAAAATTTGGAATTTAAAGTTGATCGATAGCACTATGGAACACAGCTGTGGTTCTGTTTTCACAGAGGTCCGCATTAACCATTGCGGGTGAACCCGCTGGCCCTTTATTTTTTCTGAAAGGCCTGTAAATGTAGTATGGCATGCAAGCGCTTTTTCGAAACCAGAAAGGCGTCAGTCTGTAGCGAGTCTTCAGCGAGGTTGATAAAGCTCTCAGAATGTAGAGGTGAGTCAATGATCATCTACAAGCATGTCACTTAGGTCAGCTTAGCGGAAAGGTACAAGAATATGAGCTTCAGTTATCGTTAACAGGTCAGGGTTGCCACACGACCTTTCCCCTGATCAACTTGAAGAATTCTGGATCTGCAAAAAGCATAGAGGAAACATGGGTCGCACTTGCCAGTACCCGCTGCACGACGGCCGGAACCGAAAAGCAGCTAAATACTAGAAATGTAGTTCATCTCGACATGACAAGGGAAATTAATGCTATCTTTTGCACAACTCGTTCCAACAGGTTCCCGTAAGTATGATTTCTATGTAAATTCTAGCGTACCAATCAGGATTGTCCTGAAATGTGGAGCACGGTTTAAGTTAAGATAAAATCTACACATATATTGAGATGCCGTAAATGTCAGAATTCAGTATTTTGGAATTTGATTAACATTTGGGTCAAAGCTCGCACGCAAGTGAGTATAAAACAAAACAAAAGTCAAAAATTCTTTCCTGCAAAAAGTCCATCTGAGGTCAAATGAAGCCGGTTGCTATCACAACAGCTCCCTAGTAACAGCTGTGAGAGATGTCGCAAAAGGAGTTGGGGTTGAAGTTCATAGTTATCATTACTCGGAGCCGCAGTCTGGTGAAGACATTTGCGATCGTATCCTCTGCCCTATGAGGTTCTCTATTCGTGCTTACTTAAACGAAGGGCACGATGTTCCAACTATCGTGGACATGAGAGATGCATTGACGCAACACCCAATGAAAGGAACAACCGCTGCAGTTAGCATAGTCGACGAATCAAAGAACACTCTGTATAAATAAGATTGAGCATTTTAGTAGCTTCCACAACTTCGAACATGGAGATACCGGCTGAGAGTTTAGAGATGTTATGGCATCGGTAAAGGGAAGTACATTCCATATGGCGTGATTTATATCAAGAACCAAGGTCAAACGTCACTTCAAGTCATAGAATCTCAAGGGTTTTATGATCCTCCTGAAAAGCGTGTGGTCAAGCGTGGTTCAAAGGAGAGCAAGGAAACAAAGAGTACAACGCCATTGTTTGAATGCTCTGTGCTTGGATGTGTTGAAGTGTTCGAAACGTTTTCGCAACTAGAGCTGCTCCTGGACGTTGGAAAGCATACAGTCAGCAGGTTAAGCGAGTATGATGCAATAAAAATGGACTGGGCCCTTAAGTTCTCGTCGATAGATACCGCTGGTATCGAGTGTTCGAGCTGTTCGTCAGATTCCAGTACATCACTCACTTCTCCTAGGGATACTTCGCGCCACTCGCCTCTACGAACAGGATGGGTCGTAGGC